TAGATAAGATTAGGAATGATGATATTCGGGAGAAGGTGCATGTGGCTCCCATTGATGACAAAAGGTGGGAAGCGAGGCTTAGATAGTTCAAACATGTTCAGAGGAGAAGCCTAGATGCTCCGGTACGGAGGTGTGAGCAGCTGGTTGTGGAGGGAACGAGAAGAGGTAGAGGGCGGCCTAAGAAGTATTGGGGAGAGGTGATCAGGCAGGATATGGCGAGACTCCAGATTTTCGAGGACATGACACTAGATAGGAAGATGTGGAAGTCGAGTATTAGGGTTGTAGGTTAGGAGGTAGTTGAGTCGTGCTTTACTTCATACCATTGTGGGACTAGCCATGTATGGTTTTTGTCTAAGATAGCTAGTGGCAATGTTGTGGCTTANNTTATGATTGTTGTTGTGATACTAATATTGTCTCCTTTTTGTCCTTTTGTCTTCTTTTTTTTGAGCCGAGGGTCTTTCGAAAACAGCCTCTCTACTCCTTCGGGGTAGGGGTAAGGCTTGCGTACACACTACCCTCCCCAGACCCCATTAGTGAGATTTTACTGGGTTGTTGTTGTTGTATCTATTGAGAAGAGAACTTGAATCTTTAGCATATGAAATTAACAACCACGTAGCATATGTAGTTATAAAGTATACTATTTAAAATAATAAATAGTATATGTTTATATAATACGCTACCGATCACTTAATGCTCTTAGTTTTCTTGTCTATTATCATTGCAAGCTTAATTCTCTCCACGCAGTGCTTCAATTTAAATGTTAATTTGAGGTTAAATGTGTTTCTGAATCATCTAAACTCTTAAACTCTTGCTTCAACTAACAATTCTTTTCCAAAGCTTCTTTTCGTAGTTTATATAGTTGTCTTTAATATAAAATGTAGACATAGTTTAGCATTTTCAGATCAAACTTTTTTTTTGATGTTGATAATGGTACATGCTTGTGCTCACAGAAGACTTATATGAGAGAGGCTTCGTTATATCTCTAAACTTCCCGCCTTTCTTGGCTATGACTTCAATACTATTAGATAAAAATTATATTATGGCGTTTGAATTTTAATTTTAACATGTGCAGTGACGGAACAGAGGAATAAAAGGAAGCTTGATTTAGTATCTTACACCAAAAATGTTGATTAACGTGTTATACTTCTTTGATCATGTGTACTTTTGATTCTTAATGTCAAGGGGGAATTTTGCGGTGATGTTTTTGTCTTTCAAAATGAAGTTTGGTTTTAGATTGTACGGCACTTTGATTTGTTTTTATATTAATGAAAGAAAATGTTCGATTAGTATATACACCAAAAAGAATCGTACTGCAAATATAAGATGACTAAGTTCTTAAATGCATAGAAAGTCTGCTATATGCATAGATAGGCAATGCATTATAATGATTTGTTATACATGATTATGGTGTAAGAGTAAGTATGTTATTCAAAAGGGTATGTTATCATAGAAAATGCCTATAAGAATCTTATAGTATGAGATACCTATATGTATTGTTATCTTTTTGACGAAACTTCTTATGAAATAACTCAAAGTGATTTTAACTATTACCAACTCATATGGTACTTGTCATGGCAATGATGACATTATGGTTCGGTACTTCCGCCAACATTTGCCTGTAAACAAGCTTTTAACGGGAGAATTGGCAAAAAGTTTTTTAGTTTTTCAGTGGAGAAACTCTTTGTATTTGTTGATTCTGCAGTGGTACCTCTATTGGTTTTCTAATCTTTCTATTGTGCCTTTCTTTTAAAATATTTTACATTGAGTAAGAGTTCCTTTATACGTTTCACCTTATAAAAAGAACTGAAGAAGTATCTTTTATACAAATCAAAATCTGTAACATCAAAGTGCTAGATGTTTCAAAACTTATTTTATGTATTCCTTAAATACATTATACTTTCAGGAATATATGTCTGATGCACAAGACAACTATGATCTTGGCTGAAGAGAGTATGTAAGTGGAGGTTCCCAAGATTTAGGCTGCCTGAGGTCCCATTTTCTGGTGAGTTGCACTGCTACTGGAAATCCTTATTGATTTCTTTATGTTTTTGTTCTGTAGCATATTTTAGTGAAGTTAACTCTGTGGAAAAGAGTAAAAGCTTCCCTATAGCGAGGGCAGGAACGAGAATTGTGCCTCATATGTTTAAATGGTGATAAGCATGCAGAAATTGTGGGAATTGCTATATTGGATTGTGCCTCTGTTTGAATAGTGAATGCATCAGTTTTTTTCTCTTTTTTCTCTTTCGATAAAGCGACTTGCATTCCAGATTTGGACATGAGTTGAGCACATCTTTTAGAGTGATGGGCTATCACCTTAGTTAAGGCTCCTCAATACATTGATGGCTAAGCTATTGTTCTGCTGGGCATGTTCATGATATTTACACATTTAAGTTCTGATTATTTCCTACGATGTCTCCTTACATATTAAACGGGCTGTTTCTTTTTCTCAGTACTATTTGCCATTGTTCTTGATGATACATGAATTTGCTTAATTTCATAATACTGAAGTTGTTTCGGAAGGTAATAGAGTACACGAGTTGTTAGAAGTTTAGTTTATGACTGTTCATGTTGGGTCCGTGCTTTTGCACATGCTACAAATTAAAAATAAAATTTTGTACATCTACAATAACATATAAACTAAAAAAAAATTATACAACTAATTATATAGTATAAAACTTATTTATAACTTATCTACAACTTTCATACATCATTTTACCCAGTTAAATACAACGACAACATCATACAACTTAAATACAATTTTCATACAAATATGTCTTTTGTATATATTTTGTATATTCTTTGTATATATTTTGTATGTGGTGTGTTTATCTTCCTCTCTAAAATTCCAATCAAAACTCTCTCTCTTAATACAATTTTGATACATATCAACAACTTTATATAAAAAAAAAGTATTTATAACTTAAATACAAATTTCATACAATGATTCATACATTATACAACTCTTTTTTAACTTTCATATAACATTCAAATAAAAAATATATTTAACTACAACAGAATACAACTTAAATATAATTTACATACAATTATAATACAACTTTAATACAATTTAGTATGTATATTGAATATCATATGTTCTTCGTATTTTAATTTGAAATCCAGCTAAAATAAACTCTAATCTACACCAAACTGTCACGACCCAAAGATCACTAGTCGCGATGGCACCTAACTCGACCCGCTAGGTAGCCAACTAACAGACAATACAATCCAAATTAAATTTGTAGGAAAATAATGAAGAATTATCAGAACTTTTACAAATTAATCCAAGAACTAGTAGTACAAATCATGAGTTTCTAAGACTTAGAATTTATGAAGCTGATACAAATAATTACACGATCTGTTTGAAAGCTACATAACAAATTAACAAAAATCTAAAACCACCAAGGACAAGTGGCAGCCATATCCGGAATGCACGAATATCTTCAGAGTCAGCTCCCGACATTACCAGCAGCTCCGCTCCAAAAGTCTGAACGCAAGGTGCAGAAGTGTAGTATAAGTACAACCGACCCCATGTACCCAGTAAGTATTTTGTCTAACCTCGTCGAAGTAGTGACGAGGCTTTTTAGTTAAAAGATGCTCACTGATAAAATTTGCAATGTAACTAACAATAGAACTATACTACAGTATAACAGAATAGAGCACACGAACGAATGTACAAAGCAATAACAAAGTACTAGAAGAGATCACAATCCAAAAGTTTCCAATATCTCGACCAATCTTTTCCTTAGAACGAAACCCAATGAACCACAATAATCACCTCAAAACTTTCGTAGTGTGAGAGAAACACTCAAGACATCAAATTCAATGGCACGGCAGCACCCTTCGTGCATTCATCTCATTCTCACCAAATATGCGTAAAACAGTACCAACTGAAGGGCAGAAATACGGATAATAGAAATGACAAAGTAGGAAATACGCAAGTAGTAATAATGAACGAGAATGTACATAAGGATGTCAGTATCAGACTGGGCGGAAAGCATAAAGGTAATGACGACAATTAGGAAAAAGGAATGTAACTTCAACTAACTAGCATGGTGGAGGCATAGAGATAGATATAACAATAAGAAAGGGGACACGTGATCTTTATAAGTTAACAAGTAGAGACATAAATGACTAACATGGAAGAAGACATGTACCTAAGTGCAACAAAACAAATATGACGTTGATGCAATTATAACAGCAGGAAGTAGGCATGATATTTACAAGTTAAGCAACTAGAAGGCATGGGTAATACAACAACAATTGAGATAGAGAATAAAGACAGAACAGTGACGACAAGTCACATAAGAACCATAAGTAAGACAGTAACAATTCAAGGTAAAGACATGAAGATATCTGCAAGAAGAGGATATCACAACATAATGCATGTCCCTCATCCACACTTGCACAGAAACACCCTTCGTGCCATGAACTCACAATAACATAGAAGCATGATAATATAAATGCAATGGCACAACATCACCCTTCGTACTTTTACTCACATAATATGGCACGGCTGTAACAACCACTTTGGGAGGGTGCTACTTATGAAATAAATCTAATTTACTACTTACAACATTAAGAAGACATTAATTAAAAAAAATATTCAGAATAATTTAGTAGCGGAAATAGCCCATGCGATGAGGTCCAAAGTTCAATTATTTTTTTTTTGAAAATAGTCCTCATAATTTTATTTTATTTTTAAAAATGAAATACAATGTCAAAATATTAACATAAGGTGATATAACCCTTCTTGAATAATCAACATCACTGCAAGTTTGTATTGTATATAAATTCCAAACTATCGAGTATAAAAAGGAAAACTAGTTTTCTCTTTTGTACATATATATAAGAAAAAGTGTAAATTCAACATATTACAAAACTTGAGTTATTAACACACCTTAAAACAGAAAAATAAGTTACCAAATTAAAGTTACAAGATTTTGGTCTTAATATCCAAGCCTCCAAATAACATACATAAGTGTGACATATATATCATGTACAAGTCCTAAAACTATACAAAACCATAGTACATATGAAAATGTGATCTCCATAAGTGGTCCCAAAAAGACTACTTCATAAGGCCGTCTTCAAATTTCATCGTGTACATTACCTACGATAGAAAATAACTATCGCTAAGCATAAAGCTTAGTCGCGTATAAACTTTGGGCTTGGAGCCATTAACTTCTCCAATTCCCATTTTCAGTCATAGGTAGCTCAAATGAAACATAATTTAAAACAAGTGAACAAATATATCAAAAGTATCAAATATCAACCCTTGAAGTGTTTCCAAATATCAATAACAATATTCAAGATTCAAGAGTTGAGAAAGCGTATACTATCAATCCAAGAAAGCTTGTCAAATATCCATTTCTCTCCCAATATGTACGTCATGCCATCACACTAAGCAAAATCAGATATCAATATGGACCGAAACCCCAAATCAAGTAGGGTCAAAACCCAATAGTCAAGAGAATCAAGAACCATATTAAAAATGGCTTCCTAGTTCATACTTAACACGGACAAGTTCCATAATTTAAGACGAACTACAAATCTAAAGTCAAGATGGCAAAAGATCCAAATCAAGAGGCATGCCAATATGAGTGAAAAAGTCACTGCCACAAGAATGACAAAGTCCCAACAAGAATGCAAAATGATCAAACAATTCGTACGAGTGGGCGATTTTAGCAAATATCTTGCAATACTTGATATAACACGCATACAATGCTATTAATTGAAGACAAGAAAAATAAAATATCAGGTTATTTCAAAATATTCCAGCAAGTAAAAAGATTACTAAGTTTATACACAGACCTTGGTATTTTACCACAAAATAGTTCAACCACAACTTGAGGACGTTCGAATCGTCTACGCCATAGACAAACCAAATTCGTCCACTTCCTCAAACACTTTCCCTTAGCTTTTACAAGGATATATATACCTTAAATACATAATAAAATATCTATATAAGTTCAGTCATTTAACATGTCAAACTAAACATGATATTGGAGAAAATTACCCAAAATGTTTGAAACAGAAATTCTGGACAGTATCACTGTCTTGTGTTGTGACTCAGATTTGAAGATCAAAAAGGACAAATTAGAGTGTGTGGTCTTCTTTACAATTGTAGATATGTGTCTTAGCTAAGGCTGGTAAGTGGGCCGGTCCAGGCCCGGGACCGCGGGCGAAATAGCTAAATGGGCCAGGACCGTTTGGTCCGGTTTTAGCGGGCCTGGTCCGGTCTCGTGGGCCGGTCCTATGATTTGGGCCCGTCAGGCCCGGGACCGTTTGGCCCGCCAGGGCCCGAACCGGCCCGGTCCCTTAGCGGGCCAAACGGTCCCAACGGCTATTTTTTTAAAAAAAATACATAAATACCATTGGGCTGTCAAAAATAGTCGTTGGGCTGTCAAAAATAGCCGTTGGCTATTTATAAAATAGCCATTTAACCCCCCCAACTTTGTTTTAATCTCAAACTTTTTATAATTACACTTTTTCCCTATTTTTAACTATAAATACCCCATCATTATTTCATTTTTTTTTTTACAAAATCATCAATCTATCACAATCTCTCTCTAATTTACTTCTATAATTGCTACTATTGCTTACTTTATTGTTACAATTTGTGAAACAATTGTGAAGTTGGTGAATTGAAGTCTTCAACGATAATCAATTTCCAACAAGTTGTTCGTCAATTCGGTAAACTCGTTCCAACTCTTAAGTTTTAATATTATAATTTTGTTTGTATTATTTACTTTGCTTGATTAAAATTAAGATGGCTTATTCCTTAAAAAATATATTTAGTAAAAATAAGGGAAAATCGAAGAGTGGTGAATCTAGTGGCCAATCTGTTCCTCCTCCACTTCCCCCGGCTCCCCGATCCAAACCTGTTACCCATCCTACAACTCCTATTCTTGATAGCGATAATAGTTTATTACAATTTACCGAGAGTCAAGTTTGCCATAATATTGCACCCGGTGAAAAATTAAACCATGAATATATGAATGCTCTTTATGGTAATCCAACTATTGATTAAAATGATGATGAAGAAATAGATTTTGATGAAACGCAACCGGATGACGATACACCCACTAGTCTTGCTCCTGAAGTTAACCCAACTAATAATAATCCATATGATCCTCCGTCTGACCCTCTTATTAGTACCCCTACTTTTTCTAGACAACCTTCTAAACGGGCAGAAACATCTCTTGTTTGGCAATTTTTTACTCAACTAAGAGAAAAAATAGGGCTATGTGTAAAACTTGTGGCAAAGAGTTAGTTTTTCAATATATTGGAAGTCGAGGGGGACTGGAAGTTTGACTAGACACATATTGCTACACCCTCAAGATAAAGCTAGATATTTTCGTATGAAAGTTTTGGTTGAGGGGACAAGTGCACCTACTTAGGCTGACCTTAGTACCGGGTCAAATCAATTTCAACCGAAATCAATACTGT